AAATTACACCATGTTATAAAAAATAAGAAAGTACAGGTTAAAAATATTTAATATTCATCATTTATTTAACCAGTCTTTTGTTAACTTAGAGCGGTGGTTCTCAGTTATTTTCTGTCATGACCCATAGGGAACTTATATACTGTACCTTTATTTATCTTTTCCCTTTTAAATTTGTTGATTTTGCTGCTTTGAATCACTAATTTAAAAATAAAATTGACATAAAATCAATTTTTATGTTAAAGGAAGGGAAAAAATTACTATAAGATATGTGAGGCATGGTTTCTGTGATGCTCCTTTAGGGCCAATGAGTTCTTTAAAAAATATCTATCTTTATTTTTTATTTTTTCATTTTTAAATGGACTGTACTTGTAAAGCACCTTCCTACCCATCCAGGACACTCAAAGGGCTTCATACTACAATCGGTGTCCTCATGTACCCATTCACACTGCACTCAATTAGGCAGTGCTGGCTCTAGCCATTTTGGTGCCCTAGGCGAGTTGAAGTGCAACCTCCCCCTCCCCGAATTATGTCCCACCCACCCCAATTTGAACCCCTGAAAACAAGTTTGACATTGTAAGGTGCTATGGTAAACTTAGATTTATTTGCTTTCCCAGAAAGCAAATAAATAACAACATACATGTAAACTTGTACGGATTGTCCATAAGTTATAAGGATTTTACGCCATTTTGCAGGTATACGGACATATAGAGTGATCTCACGGATTTTTTCAAGTCTTACAGATATTTTCAAAACCTCATTTTCAAATTTATCTAACATGCAGAGCCTGTAGGATGATTTAAAAAACAATAAATAACAGTAACTAGCCATCTTCCAACCTGTTCTGCCGGTAGAAATAAGTTTTGAACTTTTTCCGCTCTCCTTTCCTCCTGCTTCGCAGTGGGCGATTTCATGTCCCCAGCAAGGCTGACAACCTCGTATGGTTCTTTTGCAAAATTCACGGATTTTTGCGGCTTTTTATACAGGCAAACTTTTGAAGAGGTTGACTTGTATGGGACAACAAAATACAGACTTGTTATTGAGTTTGTCAACACGAACCTCTACCTGAGAGGCACTACTAGCCCCTCCCCCATCAGAGTGTCAGAGCAGGATGAGTCAGTGCAACGTCAATCAAATGAGCGAGAGGGTGGGGACGATTGCTGCATTGGTAGAGTAGTTTATTTTTTCTGTAATACTTCATTATAGTTTTTTAAGACAAAGCAAATTGAAAGGGGCGCTGAGCAGAGTTACAACCAGGGATTACAAATAAGTACTTTTTTCTTCTGCAGTTTGGTGCCTCCTCCAGCAGATGGTGCTCTAGGCAACCACCTAGTTCACCTATGCCAAGAGCCAGCTCTGCTATTAGGTCTCTACAAAGCTAACATGAACAATCAAGACTAATCAGTGCCAATCACATTCATACACTGATGGGACACACATCAGAGAGATTAGGGGTGAAGTGTCTTGCCCAAGGACACAACAACTGAGACAGCTGGACAGGGGATCGAACCGGCGACCTGGTTCCAAGACGACTCCCCTAGCCCCAAACGTATTCTTTTCACTTCAGTATATGTGAGGTATCCTGATTTCTGTAATGTTCCTTCAAAGCCAAGGATTCCTACATATATTTAAAAAAACTAAGAACTTATAAGCACCCCCATTGACTGGAGAAGCACTGTTTGAGAAGCACTGACTTGAGGGAAAGGTTACAATTTCAATTTTTCGCCTCACTAATCCAAAATAAAACACAAAATAATAAGTCATGTTTTTCTTAGCGTGGTTTATTCCCTTCACTAATGAACAGGCTCTTTGTTTAGTGTATTAGATGTGTGATGAATATCAAACATAATGATGTTTGTATTTCTTCAAAAGCCTCCTTACATTGAACACAATGGGCCTCATGCAAGAACCGTTCGTACGCACAGATTTGTTCTTAAATTGTGCGTACGAGTGATTTAGGAGAATTTGTGGCATTCACCA